CTCGGGCTGGCCTGGAATTGGCAGCAGGGAAAATATCGCTCGACCACCTTTGCCCAAAGGGCTGGTGGGATTAGGTGGCACGTGCGGCGCTCGGCCCAGTGCTCTTTGCGCAGGCTTCTTGCGGCCTCCCGAGTGTCCGTGTTTTTTGCTAGGCATCGTCTGGCCGCGGCGACATAATCTGGGCCACTGCTCTCCACGTGGCGACCGCTCGCTGTCTGCTGCCAACGGTCGAGCCGCAGCCCGCCATCTCCGACGCAGCCGTGCCAGAGCCAGAGCCGAGGGTGCTCACCCCGTCCCACTTGAGAGCCAGTGGCCGATGCTAGATCCCTGGGTATTCCAGAGCGACAGATTTTGATCAGTTTATGGGGCAACCCTAACAATCTGGTTTTCCACCATCGACTTGCTTGTCGACACCTCCCTCGCCGGGAAAATCTATAGTCGGCGCGCCAGACTTCGACGCGCAGTATGCAGACGACGCCGTGCACGGCGCCATCCCTCTCGGTCGCCGCGAGGCCATCCCCAGACGGCATCGCGCCCAAACTTATGCCTTCGACGTGCCGATCGACCTCGAGACCTCTGCGCGCATGCGCCGAGCTGGTCGCGACCTCCTGGAGGTCTTCGGGCTCGTCGGGGCGGCGGGCGCGGCGCCGCAGGGCGGCCGCCGGCGAGTCTCCGACCCCGCCCGCGCCGCCATCGCCGACGAGGTCCCAGAGGCCGTGATTGGCGACCGCGACCAGATGATCAGCTGAGAATCCGTCGCGCTCGCGCGCATCGACGAAGAGTGGGCTTCGGCGGCGCCGGCGAAGGAATCCTACCTCGACGAGTGGAAGCGCGTGAAAACCATGGGCCCGGGCCGCGACGCCCGCCTCCTTGGCGACGAGATGGTTGGAGGCCCCCCGCGCGTGTCTTTCATGGAGATCGCCGAGCGGTCGAAGAAGGACTCGCGGCCGGGGTGGCCTTCCAGGGCAAGGCGGCCGCGCCGGAGCTGCAGCGAGCCCCCGTGGCCTCCGGCCGCGACGATGTCAGCCATCGCGAGGACTGGCGGTCGAAGTCGGGCGTGAACACGAATGGCGTTGTCTGCCGGTTCCGCCGACGCCTCTCGGAGGCGCTAGCCCAGTTCGGCTCGCGCGACCAGCTCGACCCGGCCAACGACGCGGGCATCGAGTGCACGATCAGGCGGCTGTTCGAGATTGAGGCGGCCGTCCGCTGAAACCTGAAGACCCCCGACTTCGCCGACCTCGAGGGGATCTTCGCGGCCCCGCTCGGCGACGGCGGCCGCGCCCTCCTGCCCGAGTTCAGCGGCTTCGTCTGGCTTGCAGCGCGACAAGGCCCAGCGCTAAGGGCAGCTGAGGCCGCGGCACGAGGGGGCGGAGCATCTCCGCCAGGGCGGCGGCGGCGGGCGCTCCGACGAGGGCGGCGGCGGCCGGGGCCGAGGCGGCGACGGAGCCGCCGACGGCGGCCAGGCCCGCATCAGGGGCCGCGGCGGCAAGATCCAGTGGGCTGAGGTTGGCTCGACTCCGCCCCCGCCGGCGTCTGCCGCCGCCATCGTCGAGCTCGATGCCGAGGCCGTGCCCGTGGCCTCTCCCTGTCAAGTGCCGCGTCGGTGGGAGTTCGTGCGCGGCGCCCGCTCCAGGCCGCCGTCGCGCGAGAGGCGGTGCAGAGAGGCTCTTGGATCATTCAGTACCCTCGACGCTCGGACTTCGGGCCCTGCGCGCTCATCGCGCCCGCGGGGCGGCGCCCCCGCGATGGCACGGCGCTCTGCGACGCGGCGGGCGCGGGCGGAGGCGCCTCGCTTTCCTGCTCGGCCCGCTCTCGAGCCGAGCGACGCCATCCTTGGCCTGCTGAAGTCCACAGACATGCATGCGCATCACTCCCGACATCTGCGAGCTTATGACCCCGACCAGCTTCGGGCCCTGCGCGGGCCGGTGGCCCCGCGTCCGCTGCGCGACCGTCTTCCTCCTGAAGACCTCCGCGCTCTCGACCGCGCTGACCGGCCCGTCTCCCGCTCGGCCGCCGAGATCGACGCCCTGGCCGAGCGGGGCATCATCATCCCACTTCGGCCCCGCTGGGGCCCCGTCCTCGGGCGCGACCGCTCCGCGAGGCTGGACTTCGCCAAGCGCCTGCGCGCGGTGGGCTCGGTCGGGCCCAGGCTGGGCATGCGCATCCGTATCGGGGCCTTCTTTGTCGCTGAGAAGGGCGGCGCGCCGCGGCTGGCGCCGCGCGGGCGCGAGGCGTCTAGCCTCTATCGCGGTCGCCCCGCTCGTCGCCGGCCCCGCGGGGCCCCTGGCCAGGCTCGACTTCTCCCCCCGGGCCTTGCGTCGAGAAGGTCTGGGCGACGGCGACATCGACCCCCGCGGCGCGGGCGTCGACCTCCGCGGCGGCTCCTGCCAGTGCGTCGACGACGACCCTGCGGATTTGTTCGGCTTCGACTTCCCCGAGAACGCGGCCGCGCTCGGCGACCCCGACGTCCACTTCGTCGATTCGCGCCCTTTCGGCATGGTCGCGCCCGACGCGGGGATATCCCCCGTCTTCCGCGGCTTGCCCGCGGGCTGGAGCTGGCCCCCCTGGCCCCGCCAGCTCGCGACCGAGTCGGTTGAGCGGGGGGCCGTCCAGCGGCTGGCGGGCTCGGCGCATCCGCGCACCATCTCGGAGCAGCAGCGGGCGCCGCCTTTCTCCGCGGGGCGGTCGCTGATCCCGCCCTGCGTTGACAACGCCAACTTCTTCGCGCCCCCCGTCGGCAGCGCGGGGCGCGAAGAAGTTAGCCCGCGCTCCGGGAGGCCTGCGCCGAGCTCGACCGCCGTCAGCCGGCGCGCCGCGAGCGCGTTGAGCCTGCCCGCGCGCGAGTCCGCCGGCGTAATTTTTGACGGGCAGGGGCGGCGGCTGCGATGCGCTGATTCTCGGGCTTGGAAGCTTCCCCTTGGTCTGCAGCATCCTCTCGGCCTGGGCGGGCCCGCGGGCTTCGCTCTGCGCGTCGTTTACGGCCACCTGGTCAGCTTCTCCATGCTGGCGCGCCCCGCCCTCGCCGACTTGGACAAGGGTTGCCACTTCGTCGCGGAGCGCCGCGACTCCTGCGGCTAGTTCGGCGCCGAATTGCTCGACGAGCCGCGGATCGCCAAGGGCATGGTCTTCTTTGCGGGGGTGGACCCAGGGGCGCCGCGGGCGCCCGCGGCGCACTGCAGCGACACCAGCGCGTTCGGCCACGCCGTCCACGAGGCCGCCCTCGCGGCCGACGAGCTGCTCGACACCTTCAGCGTTCAGGAGCGCTGGCGTTTTTTGGGCGCGGGGCCCGCCTTCCCCGCCGGGCTCGGGGGGCCTGCCGCCGACGGCCGCGGGGGGCAGAGGCTACCGCCGCTCTCCAGGCCAGCGTGGTCGGGGACCCTGCCTTCGACTGCGCGGGCGACTAACTACCTCGGAGCGCCGCGCCTCGAGCGGCGGCCCCCCCGATCGGCAGCCATCGAGACCCTTGGCGCCGCGGGGCCCGTGGCGGACCAGGTTCTGCGCCGAGGCCGCCGGGCCCTCATCGCCCGAGGGGCCCGGCGGCGCGCGGCCCCGATCCGCGCGAAGGAGGCCCGCGCGCAGCTGTCGGGTCTGATCCGCGCCGCGCGCAATGCGCGCGCGGGCATCGAGTCGGCAGCCTCGTCGACAACGAGGCCGCGGCCCTCGGCTTCGAGAAGGGGCGCGCCTGCGATTTCGCTTTGCGTCAGCCGCGCTGCTCCCGCCAGATCACGACCGACATCCAGCGGCGGCGGCGCTGCGTGGAGTTCGACCGCGACCCGACGGACTTCGACTCCAGGGCGGTCGACCGAGGAGAGGTCGGGCCCGCGCGCCCGCAGCGGGGGCCCCCGGCCTGGAGCCCGCGGCCTCCATCGAGACCAGCCCGGGGCCCCCGGCGCCAGCTGCCCGCTTCTTGCGGGCCAGCGCCCCTGCCGCGGGCTCCGCGGGCAGCCTCTCGCTGCGCGAGGCTCGGCGGCGCCTGGCGCGCGTCGCTGGCCTCCGCGCCCGCCGGGCGCGCCCGCGGGCCGGTCGGGCGACTGCGCGGGCGGGCTGCCCGCCGGGGGCCCCCCAGCGGGGGCCGCGGGCGCCGCCGCAGTTTTCTCCGCGCGCGCCAGCTTCGCAGCGCGCGCCTCGAGCCTCTGCAGAGACCGCCGGGCTCAGTACCGCGGCTGCCTCGGACACCGCCTTCAGAAGCCGACCCCGCGCAGTCGCGGCATCCTGTGCGAGCGCGCCTTCTGCGAGGTCTTCGCGGGCCGCGCCCGGCTCGCCGCCGCCCTTCGGGATCTTGGATCCCGGGTTGCGGCCCGCGTCGACTTCGCCGGCAGGCCGCGCTGCGTTCTGGACTACCGGGTCACCCGCGTGTTGGCCTCCTGGGTCCGTGGGCGCAAGGTCTGGCGGGTCCACTTCGGGGCCTCGTGCGTAGCCTGGGGCCAAGCCACCGGGGCCGTTCGCCATCGGCATGTCCGACAAGGCCTTCAGCTGGCCCGATGCACTCTGGAGCTCCTGAAGCTCTGCGGAGACTTCGGGGTTCATTGGTCCCTCGAGAACCCAGCCTCGTCGCAGCTGTTCTCCTGGGGGCCCTTGGCAATGCGCCCGCTGCGGTCGCCAAGATTCTCATCCATTATTGTCAGCGCGGCTGCGCCTGTAAGGAGCCGACCCTCGTCATTACTGATCACCCCGACCTCCGCATCATCGGTCTCACCTGCCCAGGCAATCATGGGCGCAAAATCTTGGAAGGCACAGTTTCTGTCGCGGTCGCCGGTTCGGTCCAAAGCTGGTGGGAGACCGCGCTTGCGGGAGCCTGCCCGCCCGCTTTCTGCCGAGCAGGCTCGGGGTGCCATTGCGCCCTCCGCGGCCTGGCGCCGACGCTGGGCTGCGGCGCTCCCTGACCATTGGAGGCCGCCTCGCCGGGGGCCGCCTCGCCTGGCGGCCGCCGCCGGCCTCGACGGGGGCCGCCTCGCCGGGCCCTGGCCTCGCTGCCCGCGCGGGTCGCCGCCCGAGCGGCCGCGGGGCGCGCCGCTGCGGGGCGGCCGCTGCTCTGGGCCCCGGGCCTGCGCCAAGGGTCCGCGGCCGGCGCTTCTACGTCGCGCCAGAGGTCCTCGGCGCCCGCCGACGCCAGCGCGCCACCGACCATAGGTGAGGCACGCCATGGAGGACTACCTGGACAAGCTGTACTTCGCGGGCACGGCCGCCGTCTTGCTGGCCAACCACGTGGCCCAACAGGGGCCCAGCGGCCCCGCGGCCGCGGAAGCGCTTATGGCCCCCGTCGACGGGCGCGCGCGGCCGTCCAGCGAGCTGAGGCTGACCGCCGAGAACGTTCCCGTCGCCGCGGCAGTGGCGGGCAAGGCGCACCCGCGCGCGAAGGTCACCATCGCGCCCCCCAGCGCCAACGACGGGGGCGAGCCTCGGGCGAAACCCGCGAGCAACGATCACGACATGGCGCTCTTTGTCGGGGGCCGGGCTAGCTTCAAGGGCGGCGGGGCTTTCGTCGGAGTTGCCAGTCAATATCAAGCACTGGCGCCGTCCAGCCCCATCGCCCTTCCCGCTGAGGCTTTACGAGTATGAGAGTTTCTTCAACGCTGCCGTCGACTCCTCGTGTTTGGGCCGACTGGGCATCGCTCCCGCTGCAGGCGCCTCGTCCGCCCGACGCCATGAGAAGTCCGGCGCACCCATGCGCCAGCTAGCGAAGTTCCTTCGCGTTTCGCTCGGTACCTTCCCACAGGCGCTCACGAGACTCAAGGCTCGTTGATTGCAGTGAATTTTCTTTGGCCTCTCTTCCTTTTCGGCGCGCGCCCTCTGCCGCCAGTTCATCACATGCTTTTTTGAGCCTCGAGGTTGTGCCGAAAGCAGATTGCGCCTCGCACGCGCCGGCGCTCTGCGTGCATTGATGGCTTTCTGAAGCACGTTTGCAGAATTGACCTATCATCATGGTGGCCTGGAGAGAAAAAGGTCGATCTCCCTGGAGCTTTGGTGTTCGGCGTCGCCTGCGCTCGCCTGTGGGGGCCGCGATTTGTCTCTGTCCGTGCCTGACCCTGTGTAGCACACCGCTCGCAATGCAGTGTTTGTATGCCGTTGCTGTTTAGCGGATCGCCCGCCTGCTGCCGCCCACTGCTGGGGGCCAGCCAACAGGTCGAAACACCTTCCCTTTTATTTGAGCTTCGAGGTTGTACTACATGTATAGTGTGCTTCGCGCGTGCCGGCACCCTGTGTGCATTGCTGGTATTCTGAAGCACGCCAGCAGAATCCACATATCTTCAGGGTGGCTCGGAGAGAAAACGTTTATCTCCCTGGAGTTTTGCACTCACCCGATGGCAGCCGTGCGCGCAGCAGGGAATATGCTGACACCCCCGCCGCCCCTGTCAAAAAACAAAATTATCCCGGCAAAGCAACCGAACAGCGATGTGTATAAGCATATTTGTCAGCCTCAGCCTGCCTCAGCCTCAGCCTCAGCCTGCCTCAGCCTCAGCCTGCATCAGCCTCAGCCTCAGCCTGCCTCAGCCGCAGCTTGCCTCAGCCTTAGCCACAGCCTCAGCCTCAGCCTCAGCCTGCCTCAGCTTCAGCCTCAGCCTCAGCCTGCCTCGGCTTGGCTCAGCCTCAGCCTCAGCCTGCCTCGGCCTCAGCCTCAGCCTGCCTCAGCCGCAGCGTCAGCCTCTCGGCATCAGCCTCAGCCTGCCTCAGCCTCAGCCTCAGCCTGCCTCGGCCTCAGCCTGCATCAGCCTCAGCTTCAGCCTGCCTCAGCCGCAGCTTGCCTCGGCCTCAGCCACAGCCTCAGCCTCAGCCTCAGCCTGCTTCAGCTTCAGCCTCAGCCTCAGCCAGCCTCGGCTTGCCTCAGCCTCAGCCTCAGCCTGTCTCGGCCTCAGCCTCAGCCTCAGCCTGCCTCAGTCTCATCGTCAGCCTCTCAGCCTCAGTCTGCATCAGCCTCAGCCTCAGCCTCAGCCTGCTTCAGCCTCAGCCTCAGCCTGCCTCAGCCTCAGCCTGCCTCGGCCTCAGCCTGCGTCAGCCTCAGCCTCAGCCTGCCTCAGCCTCAGCCTGCCTCAGCCTCAGCCTCAGCCTCAGCCTCAGCCTCGGCGTGCCTCAGCCTCAGCCTCAGACTGCCTCGGCCTCAGCCTGCCTCGGCTTCAGTCTGCCTCAGCTCGGGCATTCAAAATATGGCACAGGACTGGTGTTCTGGGAACACGAAGATCACGAAGTGGCCCACAGTTGGCTCCGGGCAATCAAAATATGGTACAGGAGCGGTGTTCTGGGAACACGAAGAACACGAAGTGAACACGAAGATCACGAAGTGGCCCACAGATGGCTCCGGGCAGTCAAAATAGTGTGCAGGAGTTGCGCTGGGAACACGAAGAACACGAAGTTAAGCAGAGGTTTGTGTGTATTTATTTGTATGTCCTGGGGCCCCTTGAGAAGTGGCCTACAGTTGGCCTGGGAATGGTGTTCTGGGAACACGAAGAACACGAAGTGGCCTCCAGTTGGCTCCGGGCATTCAACATGTGGCTTGGGAGTGGTGTTCTGGGAAGACGTAGAACACGAAGTGACCAACAGCTTGCTCCGGGGATTCAAAATGTGGCCTGGGAATGGTGTTCTGGGAACACGAAGAACACGAAGTGGCCTACAGTTGGCTCCGGGGATTCAACATGTGGCCTGGGAATGGTGTTCTGGGAATGGATTCCCAAGGATTCTTAAGAATCCTAAGGATTCCTAAAGATTCCTGGGGCTGGCGGATCCGTCCGGTTCCCTGTCCGGGTTCCGCCCAGACCCCCCTTGGGCGTCAAGATGCTCTCTTTTGACACCACTAGAAACATATCAGCAAAAGCTGTTCGGTAACATAGTGCCCTCTCGGGCCTCGTGAACATGACTCAAGATTTTGCCCCAAAGTGTACTTTGCATTGTTTGTTGACAGAGATGGGTGGGGGGGGTGCCTCGGGTTGGCCGCGGATGCTTCACATGTGGAGGCAGGGTGCGTTTTGTAACTATTGTTTTTGACAGGGATGGTGGGTGGGAGCCCTCATGGTTCCTGGTTGGCCGCCTGTCGCCTGGTGGAGGGGGTGTATACTAATAGGGACCAGTGGTCAAGACGCCCTCTAAGATAGCAAGCCGTCTAGCTCACTCCCACCCCCCCACCCAACACACAAGTAACACCCGAACCTCAGCATGTTCAGCGGTTGCCCGTGGGTGGACAGCTACTGGGAGCCACAATCGACCCCATGTGCGCGACGCTGAGGCGACGTGCGCCACGCGTGCCAGGCGCGCCACGCGCGTCAGGCACCCCTGCGGCCCGAGCGTGCCAGGCACGCCTGGTGCGCCAGATGCGCTACGTGCTCCACGCGCGCCAGGTGTGTCGCATACTCCAGCCGCGACAGGTGTTCCACTTTCGGGGCACGTGCCGATTGTGTGTCAGTTGCTTTTGCGCACGTGCCAGTACACATCGGGAAACGTGTCGGCCCCCACCATCCATGTCGAAAACCAATCCCCATCATGGTGTCTGGTGGGCCTGCGCACAGCAGGCCATGCGCCACCACCCACGCCCATGCCGTCCCTGCCCAAAACCACTTGACAGTGATCGCGGCGTGGCCGCGCATGATCCAGATTTGGCCGCGAGGTGCATGTTGTATTGTTGTTTGACGGGGATGGTGGCCTTGCGCGCAGCAGGCGATATGCTGAAACCCCCGTCGTTCCTGTCAAAAACAAATGCAAAGTGCCCGCGGGCCTGACGAACATGACTCAAGACTTTGCCCCCCGAACGTATTTTGTTTTCTGACAGGGATGGTGGGAGGGACCCGCATCGGGTTGGTTGCGCATGCTCCGACTTTGGAGGCAGAGTGCGTGTTGTATTGCTTTTGACAGGGATGGCTGGGGGGTAGGAACTTAAAGTCGGCATTGTTCCTGGTTGGCTGCCGGTCTCCTGGTGGAGGGGGTGTATACTAACAGGGAACAATGATAAACCCGTCCCCGAAGGGGAAATGCTCTGAACCACTCACGCCGAAAAGGGCGGGTGTGATTTTCGGCCTCTGGGGGACCATGCCTTGGGGCCGTCGAAAACGACTCGGGATGAAAAGCCTGTCCTGGGGAATGGGTCGAGACTTTTGCATGTCGGTCGACATTATGAAAAATCATGACGCTGGGGTTCTGTCCGAAACGACGTCCCCCCGGCTCTCCCGACACCAGGACGGAGGCAGTTCGGCAGCCGCGAGGCGCGAAATTGTTTGAAACTCGAAGACCTCCCAGATGGGGTTTGAGTAGATGGGGTCAAAGGATGGCGCCGCATCGCCGATGCATCGACGGACAAGGACGTAGGCAAGGACAGCCGCGAAGCGGGAATCTGTGCCCATCCGCCACCAGGGGAACAGACGTGCCGTGACCCCTGGCTCTGGGGGCGGTGGGTGTGGCCATCTATACATACACACCGCCTGCGCTGCAGATCCGACGACGCGAAGAAACTGCAGCATCGTGGAAGATCATGACTGCAGCCCCCGACCCGATCTTTCTGCCGCGGTGTTCCGAGCCGGACCGATCCGTGAGGGTCCCGGGGCCAGAAGTCATGCGAGAGCGCCCAGCTCTAAAGAAGTTGCAGCGCTCGGATCTCAGGGCCCGAGGTCTCCGAGGCTCGACCCCCAAGCGGCGGTCGTGGATAGCCCCCTTCGTCGCGGCAGTGGGCAGTGGCGCGTTGGAGGCTGCCAGGATCCTCCTGGTCGCTGCCCTGCCAAGCTGGCGAGCCAGAAGGAGCCCACGTGCGTGATAGCCCGCGCCACGGCCCCCCACCGTGCCGGCGACGATGAGCCCCTGGCCTGGGACGAGGGAGAAGGAGGGCGACAAGGAGCAGAATGAGGCAAGGAGAATGAGGCTGGGAGGAGGAGGAGGAGAAGGCTAGGAGGGGGAGGAAGAGGCAAGGAGGCGAGGAGGCAAGGAGGCAGCGAGGAGGCAAGGAGGCAACGAAGAGGCAAGGAGGCAGAGAGGCAATGAGGAGGTAAGGTGGCAAGGAGGCAAGGGGAGGAGGAGGAGAAGGAGGAGGAGGAGGAGAAGGAGGAGGAGGAGGAGGAGAAGCGAGCACAGGCTTCGCAGGCTCTGCCGAGGACAATTGACGGGGGGGGGAGGAGTGGACACGCCGACAGCAGTTCCGCAGCGGGGGATGAGGAAGAGGATGGTGTTGGCCGCCTCAGGTGAGGCTGGACTCTCTACAGATGAGCTCGCCAGACTTGGGGTCAAGAGGTGCCCGTCTTGCGGCGCTGGCGTGCAGAAGGAGTCCGAGTCGTGCCACAAGATGATATGCCGTGCTTGTCGTGCGAGATTCTGCTTCAGGTGCTTGACAAGGCTGGAGTACTTCAACTGCGGCTGCACTGGTCCGGAGCATCGGTTCGTCGACCCGGTTGACGGGAGCGCCGTGACGCACCAGTAGTGTAAGAGGTGTTAGTGATCGTTGATGTTATGTTCTCCACCAGGGACCTCGACAATTGGAAGACGGTGTGCAGGCCTCGCGGTCCAGCAGCAGGACATGGCATCTGTTAGCAGATGCCGCAACAGAAGCCTCTGGTTATTACAGACCATGTTGCACAATGGAAGCAACGGGTTAGGGTTTGCTGGAGATGATGGCATGGGGGCTAGAACGTACGGCACCCACCATTCCCGAGTGCACTCGCAGGCTTCCGCACGAAGCGCAGTTCTTATGTCGGGCCTTTCGCGGGACGAGCAGACGCGGAGCTGCTCTCGTGTCCGCAGTCTTCAGGCTCCAGTTCGCTCTGAAACGTGCGAGCCTCGGCTCCTTGTCGAAGCTCGTATGGAATATACAAGCACGAGGAGCGCTCTAAGCACGTGGAGGTGCGCCTGGCCCGGTTGCGAGTCGGCTGGGCCAGGACAGCGAGAGCGCGGGGCCCTCGAAAAAGACGGAGCGGAGCATCTGAGGCGGATTGTCGCCTCGAGGATTTTGCGGAGGGCCTGTCCTCCGAGCAGGACGGGGAGGGGGCGAGCGGGGAGGAGGGGGATGGGGGGAAGAGGATCAAATGAGGAAAAGGTACCGATACCGCTGCTCGTCCTCGAGAGTCCCTGTCACCACGTCTGGTCCTGGTCAGAACGCGCCCGTGGATAGTTCCGGGGAGAAGCAGCATTGGTTCTTTACCCTGTAACGCCTCCCTGCGGAGGTAGAAACCATTCGGATGCAGTTTACAATTTGGAGCGTCGTGTCGTCCCCTCCTCTCGCGTTCTTTCGCCAGTGGATCCGAAATCGACCCCTGGAAGCCGAAACGTAAGGAAAAGCATTGGGGCTGCGCAAAACACGACAAAGGAGGCTTGGGGCCCAGAAGTCGATGGAGGTGGCTGGAGGCCTCCGGAGGCCCACCTCTGAGGCCTCGGAAGTTCCCACAGGGCTCTCGGAAGGCCAAAGAGGTGCCAGAGGCATCCGAAGACAAGACTTGTTTCAGAGTGTCTGCGCATTTCTTTTTCTGATTTCTTCCCTGGGGATCGTTGTGTGACGGCCCCGGGACTGCAGGGGCTGCGGGAGGGCGAGAATTGTAAAAAGCGGGCCGTCATGATATTTGCGCGATTCGAGGTGCTTGAGTCGAAGGACTGAAGTTTTGCCATATCGGTTCCTGGCTTACGCCTGGGACTCATCCCAATGAATCTTGATTTCTGATCAGATTCGGATGGTCCCGCGGCCAGGACACGGCCCTCCAGAGGGAGAGCGCAGAGAAGATAGGAAATCTACGAACATCTGACGGCGACGACTACGACGACGATGAGGCCGTCGACGACGACGACGACAACGACGACGGCGATGACGGTGGCGATGGCGATGGCGATGGCGATGGTGGCGACGACGACGACGACGACGACGACGACGACGACGACGACAGCCTCGGCGACGGCGACGACGACGGCCTCGGCGACGGCTACGACGACGACGGCCACGACGACGACGACCACGACGACGACGGCGGCGACGGCGACGGCGACGGCGACGGCGGCGGCGGCGGCGGCGACGACGCCTGGACTCCTTGGTGGGCTGTGCGGTTGGGGCTCGGCAGGCCAGCGGCGGGGGGCAGGCTGCGCGCGCTGGCCGCGGAACGGGGGTGGGTTCGCCCCTTGTTGGCGCGACAGGCTCGGGGGGAGCGAGATACGGTGGTTCCGTTGATAGATCTTGGCGGCGAGCGAGGGGGGAAGTGGGAAGGAGAAGGCCTTCTCAGAAGGCTCGGACGTCCCCAGGCCTTCTGACAAGTTTTCTGCTCCCCCCCTCGCTCGCCGCCGAATTCTCAGGGGAGGAAGTGCTGGGCTCACAATCCCACGCAGTGGGATGATTCACTTGGCACTGTATGTCAGGGCATTTTCACTGTCAATATTGCTGTGCAGCACTCTGGAGTCGTAATCCGTGACATCTGGAGGAAGAAGATCGCTGGTTCAAAAATGGGGTCTTGAGGGATTGGGTCCGACTTTTCTCTCCTGCTCCTCTCTCTTCTTCTGCCTCCTCCTGCAACTCCTCTCCTCCCCCTCCCCCCAGGGCGATGGACAATGGACCTTCTGGGGTTTCTTGGGAGCTCCGGAGGCCACCTGGGACCTCCTGGGGTGTTTGAGGTCCTCACGGGGACGATTGGGATCTCTTCAGGCTTCCTGGGGCCTCGTGGGGCCTCGTGGGGTTTCCTGGAGCCTTTTCGGGCCTCCTAATCCATACGCCTTAATTAGTGAAGCTTTGAGTCCCTCTGTGGCGGAAGGCGTTTTTGGGAACCCATGACGAGCCCCTCTGTGACAGAATGGCTCGTTCTTTTTCCAAGTCACGTCGTCCTCATGCATTTGTTGTTCATTGTCGTTGTGCTCCTGACAGGTTGTTTTGGCTTTCCCACGCCATATGATTTGTTTATGTCTTGCCTCGCCACCTACTTCTTCGTTCCCTGCTCCTGCGTTTCCTCACTGTATTCAGTCTGTTCCCCCCCTTCTGGTTTGTTTCCCCGCTCTTCCTCTACTTCGCTATTATTATGCCCCTTCAATTTTCTTCTAGTTCGTTTGCCGTCCCATCACCTCGCGTCATCCATCGCCATGTTGCTCGAACCTTCCCTCGCCCGCGGGACGGCCCGCGAGCAACGGTGCAATCGGGCGCCATCGACAGCGAGGGAGAGCTCGAGGGATGGGAGAGCGACGGCCGCGCCGGCGGAGGCCGTCTGGGGTTTCGAAACAGCGACGGAGGGGAGAGGAGGATGAGGAGGGGGATGAGGGCGAGGGGGATGAGGAGGACGAGGAGTACGAGGGTGGGAGGATGAGGAGGAGGAAGAAGAGGAGGAGGAGGAGCAGGGTGGAGAGGAGGAGGAGGAGGGGGAGGAGGAGGAGGAGGAGTAGGCGGAGGAGGTGGAGGAGGTGGAGGAGGAGGAGGACGAGGAGGAGGAGGACAGGGGGCATGAGGACGAGGATGAGGAGGATGATGAGGGGAAGGTGGGCCCGAGGGAGAGAAGGGGGTGGCGGGCGCGCGCGGGCCTCGCCCGCCCTTGCAGCCAGCGCAAAGCGGTTCGGGCCACATGAGGAAATCGATGAGCGAGGGGAGGGGGGGCGGAGAGGGATTCGTAGGAGGGATGGGGGAGGGATGGAGGGAGGGGGTGGGGGGTCCATTCGGGGCGGATCGTGAACCCCATGGGGCTCGCGATTTTTTGAAGATTTGATCGCGGGTTCAGGGCGCTCGCGCGTGCCGCAGCGATGGCGCGCAAATGAGATTGAGAGAGAAGCGCCCCGCGGAGGCGCCCCGCGCCGCGGGCGATGCTGCGGCGGCGGCGCCTGCTGCGCCAGCCGCCCCCGCCGAGGGCGCCGCCGCCGCCGCCGCGGAGAAGCGCCCTCGCCGCTCAGGCCGGAACCCGAGCGGCCCGAGCGGCGGGCCAAAGGCGCCGCGGGAGCGCGACGCCGCCGACGCGCGGGCGGTCGAGTTCCAGGAACAGAACCGCCAGCTGGCTCGGGCCCTCGAGGCCGAGCGACAGGCACGGGCTGGGGAACGAGCGGCTGCGCAGCGCGCACTTGGGCGCGCGCGCGGAACATTCGGCGGACCAACGCCTCTGGGAGGCGGCGGCCCTCAGCGCGGGCGCTCGCTTCCGCGACCGCGGGGGCGCGCGCGGCCCCCGCCGGTGGCGCGCGCGACCGCTGCGGCGCCAGCGCGCTCGCTGCCGCGGCGCCGCGAAGGACCCTGGTCGGGATCGAGTTTCAGCGGCAGCGGATGGCTCGCTCGCAGCAGGCCGCGCAGCAAGTGGCCCCGCAGCCATTGGCCCGCGGCAGCGGGGCATCCGCGAGGATTTGTTTCGCTGGGCACCTCGCAGCGGCGAGGCTAAAGTAAGGGACGCGGGCTCGCGCGCGCGTGAAGGCGCCGTTGCGCGCTTTTCGTAAGTATTGAAATCGCCCCCCCCATCCTCCCCCTCGTCCTCCTCCTCCTCCTCCTCCCCCTCCTCCTCCTCCTCCTCCTCCTCCTCCTCCTCCTCCTCCTCTTCGCCTCCTCCTCCTCCGCGCCTGTCCTCCCCCCCCTCTTCCTCCTTCCCCCCTCGCCCCCCCCCTGCCCCCCCCCCCCGCTTCGCCCCCCCCCCCCCCCCCCCCCTCCTCGTCCGCCATCGGCCTCGTCGGCGTTGCTTGCCGTCGTTCGGCGGAGGGGAAAACGAAGAGGAGTTTGGTGTTCTATATTAAATTGGTTCTCTATGTTCAACATTGACGCGATCGCCTCTTCCGCTGCTGCCCGGGGAATGTCAAAAACAAGTTATGGTTTTCACCGTTCATCGCCGCCTTCGCATGGAAGCGCACGCGCCGCGCGGCGCGCGCGCAGCCTGGCGCATAGGCTTCGTATACTCAGCATTGATATGACCGCCTCTTCTTCCCAGAGAATGGCATGACATTGTATATGGTGTTTTCACCTTTTTGGTTTTCGAGCTAACGTCGCCGTCCACGCATGGGCGCGCGCGCCATGCTATGCGCGCAGCCCGATGTGAAGGTCTCTTAGATTCAGTATTGACACGGTCGCCTCTTTTGCACAGAGAAGCACCAGGCGTCCGCGTTTTGAATTTGGTGCTGCAGGAGATTGTGGACTTCTCTTCCTGCTCGCTGTCCTCGGCGCCGTCGTCGCCACGATCGTCGTCGACCCCGCGCAGGAACGCGCGCGCCATGCAGCGCGCGCGCAGCGCAGAGCGCGCGCAACTTGGCGCGTGGGTTTCCCGCGCGCCACCTTGATATGATCGCCTCTTCTGCCGAGAGTGAGATTTCACATTGGATGTCCACCATTGGGTTTTCGATTTATCTCCGCCGTCTTTGCATAGGAACGCGCGCGCCGTGCAGCGCAGGCGCGCTGCCCAGCGCATTGGTTTGTCATCGCCCATCTCGGTGTGACTGCGTCTCCAGCCCAAAGAATGGCATTATATATGGGGTTTCCGCCGTGGGGCTTTCGAGTTGACATCGCAGCTTTTGCATGGCATCGCGCGCGCCGCGCAGGGCGCGGCGCGCAGCCTGGTGCACTGGTGTCTATATTCAAGATTGATCTCGTCGCCTCTTCTGCCCAGGGGGGGGGAATTTTACATTGAGTTGTCGCCGTTGGGTTCTCGAGTTAACATCGCAGTTCCGACGTGGAAACGCAAGCGCCATGCAGCGCGCGCAGGCTGGCGCGCAGGTTTCTTATATTCCATCTTGATAGTGTCGCCATTTCCGCTCAGAGAACGCAATTTCACATTCGGTTGTCACAGGTTGGGCCCCCGGGGTTAGCATCGCAGTCCTCGCAGAAAAACGCGCGCGCAATGCAGCGCGCGCGCCGCGCAGCGCGCGCGCAGCCTGGCGCATTGGTTTCCCGCGTGCCACCTTGATATGGCACGTCGAGAAGTTGGGGGTTCATTTTATGACCTGGGGGATGTCCCTCGCAGGGTACATCGCGCCGCTGATGCGC